TTGCTGATGAGCTTATGCCCACTGTTGCAGGCCTTGGACTACTCCATCTCTTTGAGGTTCTTCTTTGTGCTGATTTTCTACTTTACCAAGTATGATGTCTTTCTCCAGGGAATGGCCCCTCTTGATGCCATACCCACATTATGTGAGATGAAGCCTCACCGTCCCTGCCCCCAAGGGGCATTCTGGCTGCACATGTTCAAGACAGTCTTGTTTGTTCTTTAGGAAGCCGGTTACATAGTCAATATTATTCACAACCACCACAATTCAAAGACATTAATTCTTTGGTCTTCCTTATATATTGTCTAGCCTTCACATGCACAGGGGATGGTTGAAAATACTATGGGATGAGTCAGGCACAAGTTAGAGCTTCTAAATGACACTCTTCCACTTTTGCACTTTTAAAGAGGTCATTGACAGCAGGTTTCCTCAGTGTAATATATCTGATTTCTGGACTGCTGATTTCTTGGACATCAATTGCTTATTTAAGTAAAATGAAACCCTTAACTTCATTCTTATCTCCATTTATCATGTGGTTGTTTATTAGGGCAATTGTATTAATTTCCCCCCCCCTTTATTTTGAGATGTGTCTTTTAGTTTCATTATTAAGTGCTTCAAATCATCTTCATTTTCAGAAAGGAAGATTGTATCATCGGCATACCCAAATTAGTAAGCCCTGCTCCAACATTGATGTGGATTTCTTCATGGAGTCCAGCTTCTTGGATACAGCTTGGATAGGTGTGGTGAAAGGAAGCAGCCCTGACACACACCTTTTCTGATTTTAAACTTGCTGTATGCCCCTCTAGTGTTCCAATGACAGCATCTTTTTTTAATTTCATTTTTATTTTATACTGGCTTATTTACAGAATTACTGCATCTTGATCTATGTACTTATTCTACATGTTTGGGTAAAACTACTTAAATGCCAGTGAATTTGCTCATCGATTTATTTGAGACTGATCCTAGAACAATGACTGATCAGGTTTTCCCAATAATTTTCCATGCAAATGCTTTCGTTTATGGGAATTCAGTGTAAAGATTTATCAAAAATGCTATACATCAAACCCTCCAGGTATAAATCATCTTGTTTTCAGTCTGTTTTACCACAATGAAAGACCTTTTGTGTACAGACTGTGACATGTCACACCTGCCACACCTGAGAGGAAAAGCAATGTTTCCTTTAGGGTGTACAGTTAGGTTAAGTATCAACTTATTTCTGTTGAGTAAGAACTGACTCATAGCTGACTCTTTAGCAGGTTCTCAAAGTCCGTAAACCACCCAGGAGGAGACTGTTCCTCCTTCACCTTCAGAACCACTGGTGGATTCAAGCTGCCCAACTGTGAGTCGGCAGCACTACTCACTGCGCCACCAGAGCTCCTAGGTTCAACATCAAGGTCAGAGCCATTGCTGTGTGAAAAGGCAGCTTTCAAAAGCCATCGTGGATTCCAGACTTGTGTAAAGACTTTAAAAATGAGTTAAGGCTCCATTCTCAGATTGCTTTATTTACACACATCAATTATCTCTGATTTTAAGCCCTCATACAAGTGCTTTTTAATTGTACTCTACTAGTAAATTTTTATCAATAATTTTTCATGGGCTACTTAGAGTTAATGTTTTATTATTTTAAGTAAAATATAGAAATCTTAAAGAAAGGATTGTATAAATTATTTTACTCTTTTCACTTAATGTTTTATTGCCATATATAATTCAACTAAATACATTTAAGCAACATCAGATTTTCTTTTAATTTTTGCTTTCACATTTCATAATAGATATATATGGTCCTTCTAATAAACTTAAGTGGAGAAGAATCATATATTATATTTATTATTTCTATTGTTCTTGCTTAATTCTTGAAATCCAAAATTTCCCTCTGCTCTTACTTCCCTTTAGTCTGGGGAATTTCAGTTAGCATTTCATCAGATTGAAGTAAAATAATAGCAATGTAAAGAGTAGGCCTGATGACAATTAGATTTCTTTATTTTCATCATCTGAAAATGTCTCTTTTTAATTGAACATTTTTGTTCAATATAGAATTCGAGACAGACACTTACATTTTGTTTGTTTGTACTTTTCCTGCATTTTGAAAATATTTCCCTTCCCTGTTATTGTTGTTGTTAAGTGCTGTCATTGAGTCGCAGGTGACTCATAGTAACCCTATGAAGGAGAGTCCTAAACACTGTGTGTCTCTCATCCTCTCTCCAGGTTCATAGGGTTTCCGGAGGCAAGCTATTATGGAAATGGATGCCACTCCTGCTTCCAAGCTTGTTTTAATCGGGGAGTTTCACCCAACACTGTCCACCATGGGTAACCCACCATTAACGCATTTGACACATCAGCGTCACAGCGTTCAGCCTCACAGCAACCACAAGTTACCACTGTACGGCAAGTGGACACACCAGGGCTATACGACCTAGAGGAATGTCTGAACAAAAACGATGAAAGATAGGCCTGAGAGCCACGGATTAAAAACGATGAAAGATAGGCCTGAGGGCCACAGATTAAAACTCACCCACTTTTGGCTTGTTTCCCTTCCTAGCCTTCTGTTATTTATGATGAGACATCTGCGGTCATGGAGGATATTTACAGAGGTTTTTCAAAACTACTATGATTTCTTAGAAAGTGAGTTAGGATTTATGGTTTGAATCTAATCAGGTTGGCTATCAGCTGAAACAAACAACAAGTGACTCCTAATTACCAAACTATGAAATTATGGTATTTCTATTCAAGTTACTTACCCTAATATATGCAAGTGATTATTAGCTTCAGAACTGAAATTACCTTATTAAGTCAGTCTTCAACTTCACAGCAAAGAAACCTAAGCCCCAGAAAGGGACAGGGATCTGACTTAGGCCACTCGCCAGAAGCTGCTACGGCTATGATTGACCCCCGGTCCAGGGACTTTTCCATGTATGTCAGAGATCACTGTCTTCTCTGACTGATGAATTGCATCATAAGAAAGGGAAAGGCAGAGAAAAGGGCAGCTGCTGGTATAACTTGACCTTGCAAAAATGTCATTTTTAGTGCTGAGAAATACACTGAATAAAATTGTATTACACAGTGGGAGGGCTCGGCGGGGCTGTCCATCCGCCTAACACCTGAGGTTTTCCTGAGCACCTGCTTGCAATAACTGGGAATCTGTTCTGATGTCAGGCGAGTTAGAAGCCCAGCAATCTCATCACCCAGTCTTGTCCTCGAACTTCTCCCAATCTTGTCTTCAAGCTTCTCCCATGTGGCAGTGGAAGAGAGGAGAGGGTGTAAATACGAGTATGAATCAAAAATACAAGAGAATATATGCCAAATTTCTGCCTCATGATAAGAATGCTGAGAGCTATGCAAATAGAGGCAAAATGGTGAGGAAACAAATGCAAATGCAAATAAATGCTTCTGACCAACAGCCCAGATCTAAAGCCAGAATCACCTACTGTTTTATGTGGACCAACTTACACCATCTTTATAGTATCATGTTTCTTACCTGTAAAATAAGAGTAATGGAAGTATTATTCTTGAGACTTCATAGTATTGAAGAATAATCACAGCTGATATTTACTAGCCTTTTCCTGTGCTGTTATGGTGTCATGTACTCACCTAATTGTCCCAAAGAATTTTCCAGAAGGTGAGTTTAATTTGTGTGCCCATTTTCATATAAAGAAACAGAGGCCCAGCTGTAAGTACTTCCCACAATCATTGAGCCAGCTCCAGCTGACAGTGACCCTGTAAGACGACGTTTAACTGTTCCATGGGGTTTTTCAGGCAGTAAATCTTTATAGAAGCAGACCCCTTCATCTTTCTCCCAGCATGGCTGGTAGATTGAAACTGCTGAAGTTTCGGTTAGCAGCCCAATCCTTAAACCACTCCACCACCAAGTTGCTTATGCTGAGGCATAGAACACGTGAATGAGGCCATGCACGTATCACGTGCTTAACACAGAGTCTGCATGAGGATAAGGCTGATAAGGGAGAAGGCGGAGGTGAGGGAGTGTGTAGGATGAGGGGCTGGAAGGTTAACCTGATTCCCACACACCCAACTCAGGCTGATCTCAATTTGGATTCTATTTGGAAAAGACAGATTCTGCAAACAAAGAATGAGGACATGATGAGTAGAGGAAATGTACTGCCCGGGGAACCAGGAGCCAGACATCTATCCAGCTCTGTCACAGCCCTAACTCCAAAAGAATTGCTTCCTTCTCTGCTCTCAGCCAGACCATTATGTACAGAATAGGGACTGCCATGAATTAGAATTATGGCTCTCGAACTCAAACGCCTTTTGGAAGCAGTGTGGAGGAAGAGTTAATGTTGGGGTGGAAAAGGGCACGGACTGGTTCATGAGAGAAAGATTTGTTCTTTAGAGGCAAGGGTGGTGAAACTTCATCTCACATGCACAGCAGACATGTTTCCAAGAGGAACCAGTTCTTGCAAAGTACTGGGAAAGGCGAAGGGTCAAAAGAAGAGAGGCAGATCCTCAATGAGATTAACACAGTGACTGTAACAATCGATTCTGTTGTGGGCTGTCAGGTCAGAATTGACCCACAGTGACCATCCAGCGAGTTTTCAGAAGCAGTTCATTGCACAGAAGACATGGTCCATCTTCTTCCCATGGAGCAGCTGGTGGATTTGAACCCCACACCTTTGAGTTGGCAGCATAATTCTTTGACACTAAGCCATCAGAGCTCCCTGACTGCAGCAGTGGGCTCAAGCACATCAGAGATGGTGAGGCGAGTGCAGGCTGGGCAAGGTTCAGATATGTTGTCCAAACGGCTGCTGTAAGTCATAGTCAACAACTTGGTGGCACCTGAGAACCAAAAGGCAGTCAGTCACTCTTAAAAGATTCTGTTGGCCAAACAAAATGCATGTGCCGGCCTGATCCAGATGCCCCTGATGTGAGACATTTGGTCTAGAGAGCCACAGGGACCATCACTGCCCTGTCCGGGGCTCATCTCCTGACTCCCTGCCTGTCCATGTCCAAGGTTCTCCTTTTCTCTTCTTGTACTGTTGTGTCTGCAGGTTCTGCCTTTGGAGAACAGTATGAGGGATTCCCGTCGCTTCCCAGGCATCATGTATTTGGGAATGGCCATCATCATTGCTCTCTACATTGTCATTGGCTCTCTGGGGTACCTGCAGTTTGGAGATAACATCAAGGCCAGCATCACCCTCAACCTCCCCAACTGCTGGTACTCACACGGGCTCCCAGGTGGAGGGATTCTGGGCTTGGAGGCAATGTTGGGTCACTCACCTCTCCTTTCACATGGGAAAATCGAGGCCCTACAGAGTCAGTGTGCCAAAGAGGCCCAGTACTAACAGGATGGCCTTCAGAAGCATTTCTCGACTCTGTCCTGCAGGTTGTACCAGTCGGTCAAGCTCCTCTACATCATTGGCATCCTGTGCTCGTACTCCCTGCAGTTCTACGTCCCTGCAGAAATCATCATGCCCCTCCTCCTTTCCCGCATACCTAAGCGCTGGGCGCTGGTTCTGGACTTGTCCATCCGCTTCATGATTGTCTGCCTGACGTGTGAGTAGAACGTTTCTTGGGAGTCATGAGCATGCAGCAGGTGGTAGAGAGCCGGTGTCCAGTGGGCACTCCTACATTTCAGGGTTAAGGCTTTGTAGGAAACCTCAGGGACAGACTCATTCTTTTTTTTATTGTTGTTATTATTATTAATTGATTTTAATGAAAGTTTACAAAGGCTTTGGATTTCTATTCATTCATTGTTGCACTTTCTCCCTGCCCACCCTTCCCCCTAGTTCACGTTTTTCTTTGAAAAGTAAAAGAAAAAACTTTCATTGTTATACAATCCCTCCCTCAAGTCCACCTCATTATGCAGCCTTCTTTCTGAACTCGTCATGACAATACCTAATAATATATCCTTTTGAAACAGTTCTCTCCCTCATCTGTTTCAACACAGTATACGTAATTTATCCCCTCTTTCTCAGTCTATAAAAGACAGACTCATTCTTAGACAGATCTTATGCTCACTAAGGTTGTGGTGGTGTCATTGTTGTGTACCATAAGGTCAGAAAGGCAATAAATCACATGGGAAGAGACTGCCCATCTTTCTCCCATAGAGTAACTAGTAGACTTGAACCATGTGAGTCTGGGTTGGCAGTGCAACTCCTTACCGCCAGAGGTCGCAGTAAGGGAGAGGGTCAGCAAAAAAGATGAAGATCCTTGACAAGGTCAGGAGACACAGTGGCTGCAGCACTGGGCTCAACAGAACAGTCATTGTGAGGAGGGCACACACAGTATTTTGGTCTGTTGTAAGTTCTGTTGCTAAGGATCAGAGCTGTGTTAACAACAACAACCTGAGGGAGTAGCATAACAAGACAATCATAATAATTATAAGAACTAATATTTCCTGAGCATCTACTGTAGACCAGGCACTCTGCTGTTTCTAGCCCATATTTATAATATTTTACTTAGTCCTCAAGGGGTCTCTTCTGACACAGGATTGTTATTAACCCTGCTGTACAAGATGAGGCATGGGTGGTTCCGTGATTGAAGTCTTGCCTTCCATGTGGGAGAACTAAATTCAAATCCCAGCCATTGTATCTCAGGCACAGCTACCAGCCTGTGGAGGCTCAGGCTGGACAGGTTCTAACAGAGCTCCCCAACAAAGACGAGCTAAGCAGAAAGGGTTGGTCCTGGACTTCTGAAAAACAGCCGTTGTAAGCCCTCTGATCACAAAAACCTAACCTGAAACATCCTGGGGACGGCACAGAACCTGGCAGAGTTTTTCCCAGAGGGCATGGGGGTCACCACGGTCTCAGCTGAATCAATGGCAGCTAAACAGCAATTTTACAAAATGAGGAATCTGAGTACTTGTTCAGGAAATGCCAAGGGTAGGATTTGAACCCAAACCTAGCTCCAGAGCCAGCACCCCTCATCTCCAGGAGAGACACTGAAACTAGATGACCAGCAAGTCTGGTTGGACAATAGACATATCTTGCTTTTGACACTTACAATGATTTTTGTTATTGTTATTATTATTATGGTTCACAAAGCAAATTGGGTTTTCCATATTATTCATGTACATTTTGTTTTACATTAATTAGAATATCCACAACATAATTATCCTTTTCCCATGACCTCCCTGTAATTCCCATTTCCATGAATCCTTTCTTACCCCTTCCTGCCTTCAAGCTCTGTCCTTAGGCAATTGCTCCTCCTTTGCTGGAGAAGACTATTGACTGTACCATGGACTGTTAGGAGAAAAAGTAGGTTTGTCCTAGAAAGGATGAGATCAGGCTGCTCCTTGGAGGCAAAGATTCTGAAACTTCATCTGATATACTCTGGACATGTTGCAAGGAGGGACCAGTCCTTGGAGAGGGGCGTCATGCTTGGGAGGTTTGAGGGACAGCGCAAGAGAGGAAGACCCTAGATGAAATGGATTGATTCAATGACTGAGGTGACTAGGGTAATGGGTATAGGTGTGTCAGAGACAATAAGATTGCCACCGAATAGAGCAGGGTTTAAGACTGTTGTATATGGCTTCACTATGAGAGGCAACTCAGTGGCACCTAACAACAACGACATCTCCTTTCAGAGTTATACGGTATCTATATGAATCAAATATAACAGTAACTCAGAGATTAGATGAAGCCTTGGGAAGCAATGAGTTTATGTTAATGGCAGAAGAACAACTTAGAAAAGAGGTAAGAATGGTTGCACAACTCAAAGTAAACAGTGGTATCAACTTTACATGCATCAACTGTTGGATTGGTTTATGGTTTTGCTATGGATATTCTCAAAAACAAAAATTAATAAAAATTTTAAAACATTAATAAAGAATATAAAAATATTAAGAGTTACCAACACTATGAAATAAGCATTTAAGTGTTGTTGAGTGAGTAAATAAAGGTTTTAATGATAGAGAACACTGCCTCCTTGTGGGAGACTGGGGAATATATTGCTATATAAATCTTTCCTGTAATATTTTTGCAGCTAACCTAGAAATTATAACAATATTTCAATCACCTCAACAACCTGACTCATTGCCATTGAGTCAGAACTGCTTCATAGCTGACTCCCTAGCAGGTTTTCAGAGGATGTAAGTCACATGAAGTAGATTACCCCTCATTGTATCATGGAGCAGCTGGTATATTTGAACTGCGTAACTTTGTTTGGCAACTCAACCGTCTATCTACTAGGACACCAGAGCTCCCTATAAAACTATTTCAATCCCAAAGATACCATAACTGCCCCCCAAGTAGATATCTGCGCACCCATGTTTATCACAGCTTTGTTCACAATAGCAAGGAGTTGGAAACAACCTAAGTGCCCATCAACAAGCGAATGGATAGAGAAGCTATCCATACACAATGGAATACTACTATCCTGCACTGACAAACAAGGAACTCATGCAATATTATTCAAAATGGGTGACTCTGGAGGACATTATGCTGAGTGAAATATCTCAATCATGAAAGGACAAATACTGCGTAATGCCGTTGTTGTTGTAAAACGTGACTGACATCAGGGTTGGGGGGAGACTGAGAAAAATGGGATAAATTATGTATACTGCATTGAAACAGATGAAGGAGAAAACTATTCAAAAGGGACATGTGATTAGGTATTATTGTCATGACAGGAGTCCAGAGTAAAGGATGCATAGTGGAGTGGACCTGGCGGGAGGGATTATAAAACAATGGGGTAATTTTTCTTTTACTTTTCAAAGAGAAGAGTGTACTGGGGATGAGGAGTGGGCAGGGAGAACAGTGCAACAATGAATGAATGGAAATCCAAAGTCTCTGTAAATTTTCATGAAAATTAATTTAAAAAAATAAAATAAAATAAATATCTTGGTTCCCCCACCCCTACAAAAAATTAATTAAAATAAATGATAAAATAAAAAAGAAAAACATTTCAATACTTATGTATTCTACATGTTTGCTGAACAACTACTGTGTCTCATGATTATTACACTAAACGTATCAATAAATAAAAATGAATCTCTGATCTTTCAAAAGAGGTAGTCTAAATCTGCTCTCTTCCTTTTAAGAAAGAACCAAAAATGTTAATTTTGTTATTTTCTTATATTTTATAACTTTAATGATATATTTACTTCTTGATCAAATATTCAATAGAAGAATCTTGCTTGAAAGGGAGAAAATCCAGTCACTATTTAAATTCTCATGGATTCCATATATTTATTTGATTGATTTTTATACAATTGGTTAATAAGTCAACAAAGGTAAAACTGTATCAGGAGAGGTCTAAGAAATTATCACCTCACAGCAATGACACTTACTGAGCACAGAGGTGCCACGAACACAATGCCACCTTAGGAAATTTTACTGAGAGCTCTGCTCACACATCAAAGAGCAGAAATGAGGAAAAGGAAGGCTTTGTTGGGTTCTCAGTTTGAATACCAAAATTCACACTGGAGTGCAGTTCTGAGTGCAAAATCTGGGGAAATCTCCGGAAATAAGTTTTATAGCTACTAGGAAAAATAAATTCCTGAATCAAATAGTCTGAGATCTTAAGTGGGCTCAATATTAGGCCACTCTGGGACCCTGGCAACACAACAATTTCCATACTTTTAAAAAACAGTATTTAATTTTTTATTATTATTAATTTTAATGAAAATTTACTGAGATTTTGGATTTCTATTCGAAAAAAATCCATACTTTTCTGTAGGAATTGATTGTTCCTCATGGGTTTTAGTGATAGCATTCAAAGTTGATCCTTGTTTGTAAAAATTGAGAATTATAACCTTATTATAACAACCTTCATACCTATAAAGGAAATTGAGTTATTAAATCCTCTACTGAGGAATATTTTAAGGTATTTGGAAAGATAGCAATAGAGATGTACACTGATGTGATAATAACTTTGTACAATTTTACAGATTATATTGGTTTTTCATTAATTTCAATTGATTAATGTAACAAATCACCCTCTCTGATGACCCCTTTTTGTATGTTCCTTTCCCCTTCACCCAATATATCCCCTTTCCTCTCCTTTTCATCTCTGGTAACCATCCAAAACCAATTAAATCTGTGAGTAAACTTTCCCTTCGGTTTTTATAATACTAGTCTTATAAATGTTCTTTGATGACATGCCACTCAGCATAATTTACTCTAGAATCATAGTGTATTGCAATGTTTCATGACTTCTCATTCTTTAGGATTGCATATTAATCAATTATATGACTATATCACAGCTTCTTTCGTTATTTGCCCATTCATGGACACTTGGATTATTTCCATCCTCTTATTATTGTCATAATATGCAGGGAGCATGAAACTATCTAGTGGATTGCTGGATCAAATGGTATTTCTATTCCTAATTTTATAAGGAAGTGCCACCTGTGTCTCCATATTGGTAAAAACCAAACTTGAAAAACTTGGCTAAGTCTGAGAGTATTTCTCTACTTCTTTCACCACTTGCAGGTTCCGTGGCCATCCTCATTCCCCGCTTGGACCTCGTCCTCTCCCTGGTGGGCTCTGTCAGTGGCAGCGCGCTCGCCCTTATCATCCCGCCCCTCCTGGAGATCATCACCTACTACTCAGAAGGCATGAGCCCCTTCATCATCGCCAAGAACGCCCTCATCAGCATGCTGGGCTTTGTGGGCTTTGTGGTGGGGACCTACCAAGCCCTCAATGAGTTGATCCAGCCAAGAACTCTCACATTCCCTAACTCTACCACATTGGTTCGATAAGAACAACCCCTCATTACCCACCTATGCTGATTCCTAATACTCTAGATCCCATTTCTATACATTACCTTTATTTTGCTACTTTACCTTTTCTCTGAGCCAGGTCCTGGTGAAAGCAAACAGTTACATGGTGATGGTGATGGTGGTGGTGGTTATGTGTCATCAAGCCACTTATGACTCATAGTAACCCTATGTACAGCAGCTCTGAATACTGCTCTATCCTAGCCAAACTTATTTTCTCTGACACATCTACCCCCATTACTCCAATCACTGAGTCAATCCATCTCATCGAGGGTCTTCCTCTCTTGTGCTGTCCTTCTACCCTCCCAAACATGATGTCCCTCTCCAAGAACTGGTCCCTCCTTACAGCATCCCAAAATTCTGTTGTACGGAACTTCATAATCCTTGCCTGGTTTCACTCTCTCCAGGATGGACATGTTTGTTCTCCTAGCAGTCCATGGTATATGCAATACTCTTCTCCACCACCACAGCTCAAAGGCATCAATTCTCCTTCTATCATCCCTAGGCATTGCCCGGCTTTCTGATACATAGCACATAGTTGTGAAAACAACAGCCTGAATCAGGCTCACTTTAGTCTCCAGACAGACATCGTTGCTCCTCAGCACTTTGGAGAGATCCCTGACAATAGACTTTCCCAATACAATTTGTCTTTTGATTTCCTGGCTGCTTGTACCAAAAATGTTGATTGTGGAGCCAAGCAAACTGAAGCTGTTAACAATCTCAATCTCTTCCACCATCTATTGTGATGCTGCCAATCGGCCCAGTGGTGAAAATCTTTGTTTTCTTGGTGTTTAGCTTCAATCTATATTGTAGACTGCAGCCAGTTACCTTCTGCAGCAAATGCCTCAGGCCCTTCTCAGTTTCAGCAAGTGAGGCTGTATCATCTGCATAACACAGGTTGTTGATGAAACTTCTACCACTCCTGATGCTACATTCCTCCTCAAAGAGCCCAGCCTCCGGGATTATCTGTTCTGCATTGTAGATTAAAAAGTATTAAGCTAGGACACATCCCTGGCATACACCCTTTCTGATTTTGAACCATGCAGTGTTTCCCTGCTCTGTTCTAACAACTGCCTCCTGGTCCAAGCATAAGGTTCATATAATCACAATCAAGTTTCTTGGATTCCCTCTCTTCTCAGAGTCAGCCACAATTTGTTGTGATCCACACAGTCAAATGCCTTTGAATAGTCAGTGGTAAACATTCTACCATGTAACTGAAACAGATAGACAGACATTCCTCTGGTACTCTGTGCTACAGGCAAACAAAATTCCACTGAAAAGTAACCAAAAATGACTGGAACTGCACATCAACAGGGAACTAACTACTGATGTACAGGCTGGGTTTAGAGGAGGCCATAGTACTAGGGATATTATAGCTAATGTTAGATGGATCTTGGCTGAAAGCAGAAAGTACCAGAGCAATGTCTATCTACATTTTAGTTACAGGATGTTGTTCTTGTTCTTGTTCTGTTCTTCTTGTTGTTTGCCGTGGAGTCGAGCACGACTCATAGCGACCCTATGAACAAAAAGCCTAAAGCCTTTCTATAACTATCGTTATTTATCAAAGCTCACAGTTTCCAGAGGCGTGTTGTTTAGGAAGTGGATGCCACTCCTGCTTTCAGTGTATACTGGTACATACATGAATACAACTGGTATTGACAGGCTCTCAGATGCAGACTATTAGAAGCCATAAAAGACTGACAGGATTAAGGGTTAGGTGGCAGCAAAGGCCAACAGAAAACAATCAAGTTTTATAATATGCATATGTGCAAAGCCCAGGAAATGGCTGTCTTTGCCACACCTCCTTCTCCAGACCTAGCGCTATAACCTCATCCCCCACTAGGGGGCAGCCTCAGGTACATACCCCTTCAGATACCCCAGATCTTGTGTAATGCTGCATACTTACTATGTATGGGTGCTCACTGGTCCTATTACTCCCTTTCACTCTTTTTTTCCCCCCAATGTAATTCTTCTTTTATTTATTTATTTTCAATTTTTTAAATTATTTATTGTAATGAAAATTTACAGAGACTTTGGATTTCCATTAATTCATTGTTGCACTTTTCTCCTTGCCCACCCCTCCCCTCCCAGTTCACTCTTCTCTTTGAAAAGTAAGAGAAAAATTCTTTCATTGTTTTACAATCCCTCCCCCCAGGTCCACTCCACTATGCAGCCTTCGTTCTGGACTTCTGTCATGACAATAATACCTAATTACATACCCCTTTTAAACAGTTCTCTCCTTCATAAAACCGCAGCTAAAATGGGTCGTAATTCTAGTCTGAAACAGAGGGGGTAAAAAAAAAAATCTAGTAAGGGAAGAAAATTAACTGTCCAAGATCAGACACAGAACCAAAGCTATACCCTTAAATTGCAATCAGTAGAATTGAGTAGTAGTAGTAATAGTAGTTAGAGGATAGAAATATTCATTTCTTCTTTTTCCCCTTCTTTTTTAAAAAAAATATTTCATTCATATACTTTGTGTTTCATGTATATGTGTTAATTTCTTTTTGTTGTTTTATTATTATTATTATTCATGACTAGCATTTTACAACACTAAGAGCTCTTCCCATGGAAAGCTCTAGATCTTGTCCAAGATTTTGGCAATTCAAACGGTGAATTTCATCTCTTGAGTGGAGCAATGCAAGAAGAAGCCATTAGGAGGCACTCAAGTGGCAGTAACTGTGCTCTGAGTTTCTTCTTTCATATCAAAGAACAGCGACTAGGGGAGGGGACCAAACCTATAGCCCAGTATTACGTGAGTTAAAGCTCCTTAACAAACAAGAGGAAGTCATCATATATAAATCAAGAACAATAAATTTTCCAAATTACTGGGGAAAGCTTTTGGCCTGCTTAAAAGTTTCCAACAACAGCCAAGAGGCATGAAAGCACATGTGCCAAGAGGGAAGGTGGTGTATTGATACTGTTTGAATAGATTTTACCTCTAAATTCTTGTAACAAGTACTTCTTGGATCTATGCTATGGTGCAAGTCTGTGATATATTACACACATTTCCCATAACTACATGGCTTTGCAGATCTTTCTGTCAGGAGATGGAGTCCACATCTACTCTTTAACTGAGCTTGGCCACTGACTTGTTCTGACTCATGAGATGTTATAAAATGTCATCCAAGCAGAAGCTTGGAAACAACTTCTACACAGGGACATGCATGCCTACCAAGTGACGAAGCCTAGGCTAGCTTCCTGGAGGAAGAGAGGCCAGATTTCCCAACTGAACCCATCCCCCAATCCAACCAGCATACCAACTTCCAGATACATAAAGTGGCCCAGTTTAGGCTGACATCCACCAAGCTGACCACACCATTAGACAAAAAAAAAAAGTCTTGGACACCTCACAGAACTGTAAGAAAAATGTGCAGACATAAAAATACCACTGGGCATCTGAGATTCTGATCATTACCATGGAGATATTATGTTTAAAGAATAATAATAAATGTAGTTTTAAGCCATAAATGTGTGGTTTTGCTTTTTTGCCTTTTCAGGAAAACTTAGATAATGCATCTCTGAAGGGAATACAGAAATGTATTTAAAACAAATAAACAAACAACTCAAATCCAGTGTACATTGGGAAAGAACGATCAGTATTGGCATAGGTCCTTAGGAGTAAGGGGGGCGGGGGGAAACCATTGCTGTGGAGTTGATACAGACTCATGACCAACTCATGTGTGTCAGAATAGTACTGTGAACTATGCACACCCATGTTTATTGTGGCTTTGTTCACAATAGCAAGGAGTTGGAAACAACCTAAGTGTCCATCAACAAACGAATGGGTAGAGAAGCTGTGGTATATTCATACAATGGAACACTACGCTGCTTTGAAAAACAAGGAACTCATGCAATATTTTACAAAATGGATGACCCTGGAGGACAATATGTTGAGTGAAATATCTCAGTTACAAAAGGACAAATATTGCATAGTGCCACTATTGTAAAAAGGGATTGACATTGGGGTTGAAGGGAGACTGAGAAAGAGGGAATAAATAATGTATACTGCATTGAAACAGATGAGGGAGAGAACTATTTAAAAGTATTATTATCATGACAGGAGTCCAGAATGAAGGCTGTGTAGTGGAGGGGACTTGGAGGGAGAGACTGTATAACAATGAAAGAATTTTTCTTACTTTTCAAAGAGAAGAGTAAGTTGGGGGTGGGGGCAGAGACAAAAATGTGACAATGAATGAAGGAATAGAAATCCAAAGACTCTGTAAACATTCATTAAAATTAATAATAAAAAAATTCAAAACAAACAAAAAAAAATAGTACTGTGAACTCTGAGGTTGTCAATAGAGTAGATTGCCAGGCCTTTCTCCCATAAATTCTGGGTAGATTCAACTCACCCACCATTGAGCTTCTGAGGCAATTACCCATCTTTCTCTGGCTGGTGGAGTTGAATCTTCAATTTTTTTCAACATCTCAACATGTAGGGAACTCTGGTGACTTAGTGGGAAGGAGCTGCCCTGTAAACCCAAAGACACATGGTTTGCCCTGCTGGAGAAAGATGGGCAATCACCTTGATCTACTGCCTCTGAAAACCTGCTGGAAAGTCAGCTGTGAGATGGTTCCAAGTCGACAGCACATACCATTAGATGCTGGTTGTTCTGGGGAATTAAAGAAGTCTTCCCATGAATGGGATTTGAGCTAGACTTTTTTTTTTAACTTTGGAACTCCCAACACTGGGTCTGGCTCTCCCCTTCTCTTCTCCTTTCCTTTGGCATCCTGATCTTCTTGCCTAATCTTGGCTGTAGCTAAAGGATCACTGGTGACCACCATCTCAATCTTTCTTGTGGTGCCTACTCCCTGCTCCCTAAAATTGAGACACAAAGTATTTAGATAACTGAGTGGATATTGAAGCCAAACTTGTAGTCCCTGCAGGAGGGAGGTTTCTTATCTTTCTGTGGTTTATGGAACTAGTACAAGAGGATTGTAAGCATCTGTCTGGACTTCAGTTTTAAGGGAACGTTTGT